TTCATCATATCCTTTTTCTGCATTTATTGAGATGATCATATTATTATCTGCTTGAGTCTGATCATTGTTTTTACATCTTTCTTCTTTACTAATATATGCATTTAGAGCAATAAATTTCTCCCTAAGTACCGCTTTAGTCGCATCCCAAAAACTTTTGTGCTACATTGTTGTCTTGTTCTATTCAAGCTGCTATAATAAAATGCCATCAACTGGATGACTTATAAACAACAGAAATTATCACCGTGATGGAGGCTGGGAAGTCAAGATCAAGGTGCCTACAGATCTGGTGTCTGGTGAGGGTCTGTTTCCTGGTTCATAGACAGCTGTCTTCGTTGTAACTTCACATGGTGGAAGACATGAGGGAGCTCTCTAGGAACTCTTTTATAAGGTCATAAATCTCATGCATGGAACGGGATTCATTCATTCATGCGGGCTTTACTCTCCTCACCATTCACCTCCCAAAGGCCCCACATCGAAATATCATCACTGGTGATGAGGCTTCAATGTAATTTTGAAGGCACACAAACATCCAGTCTATTGTACTTCGTACTCATTTCAGTATATTTTCTGCTTTCTCTTGGAATTTCATCTTTGCCCTGTGGGGAAATCGGAGTTGTTTTCCTTAATTTTCAAATAATGACAGAATTTCCCATTTTTGACATGTGTCCTTTCATCATGATGAGAAGTTCCTTTTTATATCTAATAATACTCCTTTTCTAGAAGTCTGTCTGGTCTGATATTAATATGGCTTTCCCAGCTTTCTCATACAAACACTGTGCCTTATAGTGAGTTCCATAGCAAAGTATATAGTTGTGTCATCTTTTTAAAAAAATCTTTCTGGGGGAGGGATAGTGTTAGGAGAAATACCTAAAGTAAGTGATGAGTTGTTGATGGGTGCAGCAAACCAACATGGCACATGTATACCTAGGTAACAAACCTGCATGTTGTGCACATGTACCTAGAACTTAAAGTATAATTAAAGAAAGGAAAAAAAGGCCGGGCGCAGTGGCTCACGCCTATAATCCTGGCACTTTGGGAGGCCAAGGCAGGCGGATCACGAGGTCAGGAGATCGAGACCATCCTGGCTAACACGGTGAAACCCTGTCTCTACTAAAAAAGACAAAAAAATTAACCGGGCCTGGTGGCGGGCGCCTGTAGTCCCAGCTACTTGGGAGGCTGAGGCAGGAGAATGTTGTGAACCTGGGAGGCAGAGCTTGCAGTGAGCCAAGATCGCGCCACTGCACTCCAGCCTGGGTGACAGAGCGAGACTCTGTCTCAAAGGAAAAAAAAAAAAAAAGCTTGCTTGATATCCTTTGTTTTTTAATTGAAAAGTTTAGTCTGTTTACATTAATGCAACTATTGATACAGTTGAATTTAAGCATGCCAGAGAGAGATTGTATTTCTGTTCTCTTTGTCCCATCTATCCTCTGTTCCTCTTTACCCCTTTCCTGAATCGTACATTTTTAGTATTTAATTTTATTTCTTCTGTTAATTTTTATTTTAAAACTATACCTCTTGGTAGGGGGTGTGTGTGTGTGTGTGTGTGTGTTTTCTTGGTTTCTTTTTTAAGTTCTTGCTTTAGAGCTGAGTTGTTCGATACATGTGACTATTTAAATTTTAATTCATTGAAATATGAGAGAATTAAAATATGCTCTGAGTATTGTATGGAAAATGAATTAAAATGAATCAGGACTAGAAACAAAGATAAGTTAGGACATTGTTTGTTTGTTTGTTTTTTCCCCAAGACAGAGTCTTGCTCTGTTGCCCAGGCTGGAGTACAGTAGTATGATCTCAGCTCACTCCAAATCCTGGGTTCAAGCAATTCTCCTGCCTCAGCCTGCCAAATATCTGGAATTACAGGTGTGCACAACCATGCCTGGCTAATTTTTGTATTTTTAGTAGAGACGGAGTTTCGCCATGTTGGCCAGGCTGATCTCAAACTCCTGACCCTGTGATCCGCCCACCTCGGCCTCCCACAGTGCTGGGATTACAGGCATGACCCACCAGCCCATTCATTGTCTTTACCTTTTCATATTTGTTTTATCTTGCTGTATACAAGGCATTCTCCCAGGTGTGGGAGGTATAAGGATGAATAAAAATGAGTTTATATCATAATCTTCCTGTTAAAGACATGTAAACAAATCGGTGGAATGTAACTATAGGGTCTATAAGTAAGAGGTTTGTAGGAAGTGCTGCAGGAGGCAAGAAGCAGGAGCGCCCAACTCCTTTGTGCCTTTCAGATACGATTCTTTTTGCATGGGTTCCCATTTCCTGCTTTTTCACCCATGTTGCTTTCAGAATTCAGCTCACACATCATTCTGGAAACTTTATTTGATTTCCTTGTTTGCTTTACTTAATGCTTTAAGAAAAATGGTGACTGGTATTGAACAACATGTCTCCAAAGCAGTTACTATAAAAGCAGGAAGGAGGGAGAAGGAGGGAGGGAAAAAAAAAGAAAAATATAATAGTCATACATTCCTTGACGGGGATATGTTCTGAGAAATGTGTCGTTAGGTAGTTATATCATTGTGCGAACATCATGGAGCGTACTCACACAGCACTAGATGGTAAAGCCTGCTACAAACCTAGACTGTATGTATGGTATGACCTATTGCCCGTAGGCTAAAAACCTGTACAGCATGTTATTGCATGTAAGCAGTTGTAACAAGATGGTAAATATGGCCAGGTGCAGTGGCTTACGCCTGTAATCCCAGCCCTTTGGGAAGCCGAGGCGGTTGGATCATTTGAGGTCAGGAGTTCGAGACCAGCCTGGCCAACATGATGAAACCCCATCTCTACTAAAAATACAAAAATACAAAAATTATGAATCTTGCGCACATGTAATCCCAGCAGGCTGATGCAGGAGAATCGCTTGAACTTGAGAGGCAGAGGTTGTGGTGAGCCGCTATCACGCCACTCTACTCCCGCCTGGGCAACAAAAGTGAGACTCCATCTCAAAAAAAAAAAAAAAAATTCTGTATCCAAACATAGAAAAGATACACTAAAAATATGGTATTATAACATCATAATACTGTACCACTTATGGTACCGCTGTCGTAGACGTGGTCCGTCATTGACTGAAACGTCATTATGTGGCACACGACTATATATGTTCACTGTAAGAAATTCAGGCCAGGCACAGTGGCTCGTGGTTGTGATCCTAACACTTTGAGAGGCTGATGCAAGAGGATCTCTTGAGGCCAGGAGTTTGAGACCAGCATGGGTGACATAGCAGGGCCTCATCTCTACACAACATTTAAACAATTACCTGGGAGTAGTGGCACATGCTTACAGTCTCAGCTACTCAGGAGGTTGAGATGGGAGGATTGCTAGAACCTTGAAGACTGCAGTGAGCTATCACGGTACCCTGTATCCCATCTGGGTAACAGAGCAAGACCCTGTCTCTTAAAAAAAACAGAAAGAAAGAAATTCATGCAACACAGAAAAATGCAAGCAAGCAGGCAGCAGTCACACAGCATCCTACCATCTAGAAATAATCATTATTAGCATTAAATTAATATTATTCACATATATCCCTATAGATTTGTAAATATAAAAAGATGGATACAAATAATTTTACATAGTTAAGATCGTACTATATATGCTATTTTAAATGTTGTGAAGGGCTCAGTTTCACTTAAAAGGATTAGGGTTAAAAAGGAAACGAATTTCACATCAAGGATTCTTTTTCTTTTCTTTTCTTTTTTTTTTTTTTTTGTAAGACTGAGTCTCTCTCTGTCGCCCAAACTGGAGTGCAGTGGTGCTATCTCGGCTCACTGCAACCTCCACCTCCCAGAATCAAGCAAGTCTCCTGCCTCAGCCTCCCTAGTAGCTAGGATTACAGGCATGCACCACCATATGACCGGCTAATTTTGTATTTTTAGTAGAGACTGGGTTTCACCACGTTGGTCAGGCTAGTCTCGAACTCTAAACCTCAAGTGATCCGCCTGCCTCAGCCTCCCAAAGTGCTGGGATTATAGGTGTGAGCCACCACACCCAGCCCACATCAAGGATTCTTTACAAGAGATAGTAATTACTACAAGATCCCTCAAGCTTAACAAAAAACATTAAAGTTTTGGTGATTTTAAAAGGCTACACATTTCTGTATGATTAACTTTTCAACTGCTCAGTATGCCTCACTGCGAGAGATGAAGAAATTAGCACTTTCAACTTTTCACCTTCCTTCCCCACTGGCAACCACTGACTAATTTTTCAGTTGGAATTACGTTGTTACTGTTGTGACATTTCTGTAGCTTTCTGTTATCTAATCCACGTTTTGTTTACTCTTAGTTCAGTATTTAAATGGATTCAGTTCTCTCCATCATCTCTTTATTTATCTTTTGATTGGCTTGATTTCTTCATCATGTAGTTTTCTCAAGAAGGGCCCAGGTAGTCCCTGAAGTCTACTATGGTGTCTGTTCCTTTTTTTTTTTTTTTGTCGCCCAGGCTGGAATGCAGTGGTGGCTCAGTGCAACCTCTGCCTCCTGGGTTCAAGCAATTCTCCTGCCTCAGCCTCCCAAGTAGCTGGGATTACAGGTGCACACCACCCCCGGCTAATTTTTTTATTTTTAGTAGCGAAAGGGTTTCACTATGTTGACCAGGCTGGTCTCGAACTCCTGACCTCAGGCAATCCTCCCTCCTCGGCCTCCCAAAGTGCTGGGATTATAGGCGTGAGCCACCGCACCTGGCCTGTCTGTTCCTTTATACTTGAATGACAGCTTGGCTAGGCATAAATTCGGTAGGTCATGCTTTCTTTCCTCTGAACGTGGCATTTCTCCTGTCTGCTGGAATTGTGTTAAATCAGTTTTCTTCTTTACTACTCTTTTTTTTTTTTCCTTTTACAATCAGAATCGCCGTTTTCAAAGAATCGACCTGAGTTCTGTGCCTTTTCAATTACTGCACTTGAGATCATTATTGCTAGGAAGAACAACCACAGCTGTGAGACTGTGATGTGAACCAGGTGATTTCAGGAATAGTAATCATGTATCTTTCCTTTCTAGAGATAATTGACGACCTTGCCAACCTGGTGGAGAACACAGATGAAAAACTTCGCACTGAAACCAGGCGTGTAAACCTGGTGGACAGAAAGTCAACCTCTTGTGGTAAGAGATAGCTACTTTTTACGGCTCTGTTTCTGTCATAGCTTGTGGATTTACTCTGCTCTGAGTTTCCTGTTTGTCTCATCGCTGCGGGAATTTGGTTGCTCTTCTGATACAGGCAGTGCCATTTGATGCAGCACTGAAATTGCTAAACGAAGGTTAAATCTGGTCAGAATGAAATGAATTGTGTGGAGTTCACAGGGCGTATCATTCTTTTTTTTTTTTTTTTTTAAATTAAATTTAAAGGAGTCCTTTCTGTGTGTTTACAGAGATTAATGGTTTGGGAAATCGTGTAACATTATACTGGTTGGCGGGTTTTAAAGGAGATCTCACTTGCTTTTGTGCCGTCTTAAAATAACCACAAGCTTAACTGAGTTCAAATCCTATGTTTCGTGATGGTGTCTTTGTCAAGTCGCTTTACCTCTTGATACCTTGTATGTAAAATGGGGATTCATATGCCAAGATAAAAATCGCTTGGAGGGCTTGCTTAAAATACTGATCCTGAGGCTTTCCCCTAGGGATTCTGACTGACTAGATCTAGGGTGGAGTTCAAGAATGTTCGTTATTTAACAAGCGTACCAAGCAGTTCTGCTGCAGGTGCTTGTTCCGCAGAAATTCTGATGCAGACTTTGGTGAGGTTTAAATTGTGTATTGCCTGTGCACAGTGCCTTGCCCAAAGGTACATGATGATAAATGATGGGAACAGCAGTAGTAATCACAGGGATTGTTTTTCGGTGCTTCGTCTCACAAAGGTGCACCAAGTTTCTAAAGCTGACATATTTATGAAAAATAGAATCACAGGCCGTGTGCGGTGGCTCAGGAGTGTGAGACCAGCCTGGGCAACATAGCAAGACCTCTGTCTCTGTAAAAAAAAAATTAAAAATTAGGAGTCTGGGCAACATGGCGAGACCCTGTCTCCACTAATGATACAAAAAAATAGCCAGACATTGTGGCACACACCTGTAGGAGTCCCAGCTACTCGGGAGGCTGAAGAGGGAGGATTGCTTGAAGGTTGCAGTGAGCTGAGATTGTGCCACTGCACTCCAGCCTGGGTGACAGCGTGAGACGCTGTCTCAAAATTAATTAATTAATTTAAAAAATTAGCCGGGCATGGTGGTATGTGCCTGAAGTATCCCAGTTTAGGAGATAAATTTTAGCATCATACTAGCTTAGATGAATTTAGCAAGAAATGACAGATAACCCACTCACTACAAACTGTTAATTCTTTGTCTAGAAATGTAATGGCTTTGTGAGGCAGCGCCAAACCCTGCCCTAAGCATTGCCTGCAGATTCCTCTGGAGTCATGCACGTGTGACCTCAGAAAGCATTGCTGTGTTTCTGGCTCTGTGAGTGTGGACTGGCCTTCCCGCTTGAGTAGGTCCTGGTTAAGCCAGTTTTGTAACACTGTGTCAGGAGTATCACTTGAGCCCAGGAGGTTGAGACTGCAGTGAGCCATGATCGTGCTACTGTACTCCCACCTGAGTGACAGAGTGAAACCTTGTGTCTTTAAAAAATATATATATATATACACATAGCAATTAAAAAAAAAAAAAACCCTAGAGATCTGAACAGCTATTTTGCCAAACTTTCAGCCTTTTTTTATGTGAAAAATATAGTGAATCCTCTTGATCGATCCACTTTAGAAGCTCTGGGCAAGGGTCCCTGAGATGTGCAGCTTCAGAAGCATCACCTTCCCTGGCTGTGTTTGCTCAGTAAGAAAGAAGGCTAGAACAATGGGGTGAGAGAGAGTCAGGCACATAGAGACTCTGGAAGCTCAGAGGTAGTGGAGCCCCACGGGGCCTCCTTCAGACCGTTTATCACCTCTGTCCTGCCTGACCACCCCGCCCTGTGCTTCTGCTCCTCAATTTGGCTTTATCAATCTTCTCGCATAACTTCTGGCCACAGGGACTTTATTATCTATGCTGGATCCTGAAGCTTTAAAGATGCGAGAGATGAATTCACTCCCACCTCTTATTCTCTGGACCTCAGTTTCCTCATTAGAAGAAAGTGGAGAACTTGGTTGTCAAAATTCAGTTGTATGGACTGTGTCGTGTCGAGTGCTGGCCACCTTCCCCAGCTTTCCATACGTGTGTGAGAGGTGCCAGAGCGTAGTGTCATGAGAGTGGGCTCTGGAGCCTGGCCTCACACCCAGGCTTCACCTCTCATAGCTGCGTGACCTCAGGAAAGCTCAAATTCCCTTCTGCCACGATTTTCCCATCTTTGAAATGGGGTTAATAAAGACATACACCTCAAAGGATTGTTATGAGAAGTTAATGAGTGCGTGTATATAATATATATGTATATATTAGGTTGGTGCAAAAGGAAACATGGTTTTTGCCATTACTGCAGAGACTGTGGCACCAATCTAATATATATATCACTTAGAACCATCTTTGGCACATTGCAAGTGCCATGAGCAAGTACTGGTATTAGCTCTTGTTACTATATGTCTAAAGCAGGAAGACATACAATGTTATATATGTTGTTTTTCTCAGCAATTATGTTGCTAGTTTGGAATGAATATATTCATAGACATGTTGGGATGTTTTTGTGTTTGCAACATAGTAACTCACATGTCACTCATGAAGTCATAATGAATGTAGAATGTTTCTTACACTGTTGCCAATTTCTAATTTGATGTTATTATCTGGTGTGTAGTATTTTTACCCAGAAGTGTCATGTCTTCTGAACTAGACTCTTAAGTGCTGTTTTTTTTTGAAAATAGAGAAAAATTTAAGGAATCCCAGAAGTACTAAAATACATTTTTAAAACTTATGTCTATATTTTAAAATAAGTTAACTATACATTTCTCATGCCTCATTTTATTTAATTATATATATATATAAATAATCTGTCACAGAATTATATGTAATGATTCAGAAGGAAGTTCATTGGTATAGCAGTGTTAAGTAGATACTGAAAAAAGAAAATTCTTTATTCTTTTTTTTTTTTGAGACAGTCTCACTCTGTCGCCCAGGCTGGAGTGCAGTGGCACAATCTCAGCTCACTGCAACCTCTGCCTCCCGGGTTCAAGTGATTCTCTTGCCTCAGCCTCCACAGTAGCTGGGATTTGCAGGCATGCGCCACCACACCCAGCTAATTTTGTATTTTTAGTAGAGATGGGGTTTCTCCATGTTAGTCAGGCTGGTCTTGAACTCCCAACCTCAGGTGATCCACCCTCCTCAGCCTCCCAAAGTGCTGGGATTACAGGTGTGAACCACTGCACCCAGCCACTTTTTTTTTTAACATCCCAAACTGAAATTTATCCAAGACAGTAACTCCCTATTCCTTCCTCCTTCAGCCCCTGGTGACTTCTTTTCTACTTTGTCTCTGTAAATATTATTCTAGGTACCTACTGTAAGCGGGATCATATGTATACTTTTGTATCTGGCCTATTTAGGATAATGTCTTCAAGATTCATTCATGTTGTAGCATGTATCAGAATTTCAGTCCTTTTGAAGACTGAATAATATTCCATTTTTATATATATCACATTTTGTTTATCTGTTTGTCAGTGGACACAGATTCCACTTTTTGGCTATTGTGAATAATGCCACCATAAATGTTGCTGTACAAATAGCTGCTCAAGTCTTACCTTTTTTGTGTATATATCCATAAGTAGAATTGTTGGATAAAATGGTAATTCAGTGTTTAAATGTTTGAGGAACCTTCATACTAGCCTGGCTTGGTTTTGCTTTCAGCCTCTAAACTCTTACATACTTTCCAGTGTTTTCTTTTTTTGTTTGTTTTGTTTTGTTTTTGAGACGGAGTCTCGCTCTTGTTGCCAAGGCTGGAGTGTAATGGTGTGATCTCAGCTCCCTGCAACCTCTGTCTCCCAGGTTCAAGTGATTCTCCTGCCTCAAGCTATTCTCTCCACCTTTAACCCAGGAGGCGGAGTTGCAGTGAGCCGAGATCACGCCACTGCACTCCAGCCTGGGCGAAAGAGCAAGACTCCATTTCGGAAAAATAAATAAATAAATAAATGTAAAAATAATTTTTTAAAAAACTGATAAAGTCAGAGACTTCTGTAGCCTGAGGGGGCAGGCAGGTGGGATGGAAATTAAGTCCCTGGGCACCCACTCTAATTAGGAAGTGTAATGGGAGACTCTTCCCACAATAAACTGGGACCCCAAAGGAGCTATATCCTCAGAGTAAAAGTGAACTAGAACTAAACTTGGCATGGGGGGTTGTGGAAAAGGCAGGGTTGGCACTGAGCAGAATAGGAGAAGAAAAAGGGGAGAAAATACAGTTATTGGAGAAAATACAATTATTGACAGCTTGTGGTCATAGAAAGGCCCACATATGAATTTGCCCCCTGGACGTACATACTCAGGGTGGACCAAGAAACATCATACCATTAATTTGGTTTAAGACAGACTCACCTGTTATAGCTCGAGGTGCATTTGGTTTGAGGCAGACTCACCTGTTATAGCTGGAGGTGAATTTGGTTTAAAGTAGATTCACCTGTTATAGCTGGAGGTGAATTTGGTTTAAAGTAGATTCACCTGTTATAGCTGGAGGTGAATTTGGTTTCAGGCAGACTCGCCTGTTACAGCTGGAGGTGAATTTGGTTTAAAGTAGATTCACCTGTTATAGCTGGAGGTGAATTTGGTTTAAAGTAGATTCACCTGTTATAGCTGGAGGTGAATTTGGTTTCAGGCAGACTCGCCTGTTACAGCTGGAGGTGAATTTGGTTTGAGGCACACTCACCTGTTATAGCTCGAGGTGAATTTGGTTTGAGGCAGACTCCCTGTTATAGCTGGAGGTGAATTTGGTTTAAAGTAGATTCACCTGTTATAGCTGGAGGTGAATTTGGTTTCAGGCAGACTCGCCTGTTACAGCTGGAGGTGAATTTGGTTTGAGGCACACTCACCTGTTATAGCTCGAGGTGAATTTGGTTTGAGGCAGACTCGCCTGTTACAGCTCGAGGTGAATTTGGTTTGAGGCACACTCACCTGTTACAGCTCGAGGTGAATTTTGTTTGAGGCAGACTCACCTGTTAC